CCGGGCACGTCTGAAGGGCATGTATGAGGGGGCCCTGGGACACACAAATACATAGGCACAAAGAACAGGATTCCCCATGCTTTCCCATATTTTCTGGGCTTTCGTCTTCCCCCCACTTCCCATATTTTCCCAGATTTTCCTGGGGATCGACGATTGATTGTGTCTGTGTTTTTTTCCACTCCTGAACGTCCTCCTACAAGCGGATTTCTGGGAAAATTCAAAAACAAAAAAAAACAAAATTAGCCTGACGAAAGACCCAACCATGTGCAGTTGCGAGTACCGCATTGTGGGTGCCGGTTTCGGTGGAGCTCCTATGGGGCCACGAGACTTGTGAGGGGTGCGGTGTAGCTCCCGATAGGGGCAACGAAGCGCTGCCCTGGGCGAGGGAGACGCATGCGAACTGCGCCATTGGGACCTTCGCTGGATCTCCTTATGGGGCCACGAGGCGCTGTCATGGGTGGGGGAGACGCATGCGCACTGCGCCTTTGGCGCCTTCGGTGGAGCTCCCTATGGGGCCACGAAACGTTGTCCTGGGTGGGAGAGACGCATGCGAACGCCCCGATTGAGGCCTTCGGTGGAGCTCCCTATGGGGCCACGAAACGCTGTCTTGGCCAGGGAAGACGCATGCGAATACCCCCATTGGGGCCTTCGGTGGAGCTCCCCATGGGGCAACGAAACGCTGCCCTGAGCGGGGGAACCGCATGCGCCCACCCCCAGGCGCGATGGGTTCAGATCCCAACCGGTCGCGTGAGATCCCAACCGGACGGTTCAGATCCCAACCGTCTAAAACACCAGGCACGGTCAGATCCCAACCGAGGAGGAAGCGAAGAAAGAAAACACATTGACATGTTACCATACTTGTTCATTGCTATCTGAAATTGCGATGGACACCTTACAAGAGCAGATTCACGCCTGAGCTATTGCGGTTTGGATATCGCGCGTCTTTTGCTGGATCGCAGTAGTGGTAGAAGCAGTAGTAGTAGTAGTAGTAGTAGTAGTAGTAGTAGTAGTAGTAGTAGTAGAAGTAGCAGTAGCAGTAGTAGTTAGTAGTAGTAGTAGTAGTAGTAGTAGTAGTAGTAGTAGTAGTAGTAGTAGTAGTAGTAGTAGTAGTAGTAGTAGTAGTGGTGGTAGGAGTAGAAGTAGAGTTAGTAGTAGTTAATAGTAAGTAGTAGTGGTAGTAGTTAAAATGTAGTATAGTAGTAGTAGTAGTCATAGGAAGGTGTAGGGTAGTGGTAGTAGTAATAGTAGTAATAGTAGTTAAGCAGCAGCAGTAAGTAGTAGTAGTAGCAGTAGTAGGAGTAGTAGTAGTGTGGTAGTTAGGGTAAACTGATAATCGTGGTAAGGAGATAGTAGTAGTAGAATGAAAGTAGCAGTAGAGTAGTGAGTAGTAGTTGTAGTAGTGGTAGTAATAGTAGTGCGTAGTTAGTAGTTAGTAGTAGTCGTAATAATAGTAGTAGTAGTAGCTAGAAGTAGTATAGTATTCCCATTAGTAGTAGTATTCAGTAGTAAGTAGTAGTAGTAGTGGTGTAGTAGTAGTAGTAGTAGCAGGAGTAGTCAGAGGTAGGTAGTAGTAGCAGCAGTAGTAGCAGTAGTAGCAGTAGTAGGAGTAGTAGTGAGAGTAGGAGCAGGAGTAGGAGTAGGAGTAGGGGTAGGAGTAGGAGTAGGAGTAGGAGTAGGAGTAGGAGTAGGAGTAGGAGTAGGAGTGGTAGTAGTAGTAGTAGTAGTAGTAGCAGTAGTAGTAGTAGTAGTCGCAAACGTAGTAACATTAGTAGTAGCAGTAGTAGTAGTAGTAAAAGTATTAGTAGCAGTAGTAGTAGTAGTAGTAGTCGTAGTAGTCGTAGTAGTCGTAGTAGTCGTAGTAGTCGTAGCAGTATTTAGTAATAGTAGTAGTACTTCGAATAGTAGCAGGAGTAATAGTAGAAGTAATCATAATACTAGTAGTACTAGTAGTAGTAGTAGTAGTAGTAGTAGGAGTAGTAGTAGTAGTAGTAGTAGTAGCAGTAGTAGTCGTAGTAGGGGTAGTAGTAGTAGAAGTAGTAGTAGTAGTGGTAGTAGTAGTAGTTGTAGCAATAGTACTAGTAGTAGTAGTAGTAGTCGTCGTCGTCGTCGTCGAAATATTAGTAGGAGTAGTGGTAGTAGTAGTAGTAGTAGTAGTAGTAGGAGTAGGAGTAATAGTAGAAGTAGTACTTGTGGAGGGTGTAGTAGTACTAGTAGTGGTAGTGGCAATACAATTGGTAGTATTAGTAATAGTAGTTGTGGAGGGTATGGTAATACAAGTAGTAGTGGTTGTAATAATAGTAGTAGTAATAGTAGTAGTAGTTGTGGTCGTAGTAGTAGTGGTGGTAGTAGTAGTAGTAATAGTAGTAGTAATAGTAGTAGTAGCCGTGGTAGTAGCAGGCGTAGTGGTAGTAGTAGTAGTAGTAGTAGTAGTCGTAGCAATAGTAGTAGTAGTAGTAGTAATAGTAGTACTAGTAGTAGTGGTGGTAGTAGTAGTAGTAGAAGGAGTCGTAGTAGTAGTAGTAGAATAAGTAGTGAAAGGAGTGAAAGTAGTGAAAGTAGTAGCAAAGTAGTAGTAGTAGTACTAGTAGTAGTAGTAGTGGTAGTAGTCGCAGTAGTAATCGTAGTAGTAGTAGTAGTAGTAGTAGTAGTAGTAGTAGTAGCAGTAGTAGTAGTAGTAGTAGTACTAGTAGTAAGAATAGTAATGGTGATAGTAGTAGTAGTAGTAGGTGTAGGAGTCGGAGTTGGAGTAGGAGTAGTAGAAGTAGTAGTAGTAGTAGTAGCAGCAGTAGTAGTAGTAGTAGTA